CAAGAAAAATTCCAACTCAGATGGTGATAAGATAATCCTTCAGAGATGTAAGGCATAGTTTCTCTGAGGCCAAAATCTATGGACCTCTCCTCCCAAGAAAATGCCTCTGTGCGTGGGCACATAAAACTTTCCATGACATTCCAGGGGGGATTGCTGAAAGCCATCCAAAGACTAGTCCATGGAGCAGACTAGCTTTAGGGAGCTGCCACACGGATCCGAAGGTCTGGAGATCAGAGCCAGGACTAGGGCTGCACCTGCATGACCCGGAGAGGGAATTACTCTTTGAAGTTTGCACACTAAGCACTTCCCCTTCCTCACTCTAGTCCCAGGCCTGCTGAAGACGGAGGGTTATGGCTACATCTGAAATAAATAAATACCTAGTCACATATGTCATTTCCTATTCCATCATAATCTGATTGGAATAATATCTCAAAGCCAGATGCCTGCACATTAAAACCCTCCTTCAATCCCCTTGTCAAAAGGGTTAAAATAGACCCCGCAGCATTGAACGAGCTGTGTCTGAAGCCAAGCTTGACACTGTTCATCCCAGCAAACTCTCCTCTACAGCCTCAAATGACCACGGCAAGCGCTCTTCCAGGTCCTCACCACTCACCTGTGTGCATGATCACACCTGGTGCTTCTCGCTGGCTCTTTGAATGACCTATACCCAGAACTGGACAGCCATCTGCATCCTGACAGACGGCGAAACTTTAACATCAAGGATTATGTTGCCAATTAACTTTTCCAGCAATCAACTATTAGAACGTTAAAACTCTCAAGTCTGGCACGGGATCTGAGCACATCCCATTTGTATTGATTTTCTCTTCTCGCTGGCAATTTTTCTTCTTTTCCTTGCTTTAAAAGTAGGCACCCAGAGTAATATTTCCAAAGGATGGACTGACTTCCCAGGAAGAGCACTCTCTAATACTTCAGCAGGACAAACTAAACTGGCAGAAAGTTACCTCTCATCTGCACCCTTCTGGCTTTCCTAACGAGGTGAGCTCCCTGTCTCTGACATAGACCTTTCTGGGATTGTGGCTCCATGACCAAACTAATAATTAAACTCTAAACTCCCGAAAGCCCAAACTACAGCCCCCTCCTCGAGCTCTCCCAGAGAAAACAAAAAGTGGAAGGAACCCCTGCTGCTGAGGCTGGGAGAGCACCACGGAATTGGGGCCAGGGAACAGAGTCTCATATTTTCTTTCTGGTTTTAGAAACACATAAGAAATTTGGGAGCCACAAAGGTGGGAAGTTGTATGGACTTGTTGCTCCTCAGGAATGGAAAAATTGAGGCTGAATGGGTTACTCATGGTACACATTTTTTCCATTGATTATTTTATTTAAAGAGAATATGTCATTTCCCTGGAAAATCGAGGAGGGGGGATATTTTCTTTTGAATATCTTCAAACATTTGCAAATGGTTACTCTGAACTCCCCAGCGTACCGTAAACAAGTGTAAACTGCAGAAATTCAGAAAATGTACAAATAGAAACAGCTATCCCCCAAGCTCCAAGGCAAAGAAACGAAGGGAGTATTCCATTTATAAATGGAATTCTTTGTGGATAGAATAGTTTGGGAAATGTTTATACATTGTTTTCCTTATTATTTGGGGGGATTTTTTTTCCAGCTTACAGAAGCTGTAGAACTGGTATTTGGAGTCTCAAAAGTTGAAGATTAAAGGAAGTTTACAACCTTTTTAAAATCTTCGACTAAACTTAATTAGTTCTGCATCTAGGAAAACATCTGCCCATTGAAGTCACTTGTAGTCATATCAACAAACAAGAATGCATAAAGTCAGGTAACCAGAAACAGAATAACTTCAAAATGGAAAAAAATATAGACTATAATTTGCCAAGAACTAGCAAATACGATGACCTCTTTGAAGACAACTGTGGCTGCCTGGATTGTTGATTTCAAGACACAGTCTGCTTTGAATCTATTTAAAATGATAAAATAATAGTAACATAGTATGAGAACGGTGGGCATCGTAAAAAGAATGAAGAGTCCTTACTGAAGCTACTGACAGACTTTCCTAAGAAATAGTAATGAGCCACTAGCAAGCCCATGGAGAAATCGCTCACCTGCCCCTCACCCACTGCAACTCCGCCTTGGTTTGTTTTGGGTTTTGAATACTTCCCACTTTGGCTTTAACTCATCACCAAACAGCGGTCACTGTCAGGGCACAAAAGCCATGCAGTCCTTTATTTAACGGATGCATTTTCAATTTCCTCAACCACACGAATGGGCTGGGTTTCTGAAGGCCTAGAAGAAAAACAGCCAGCACGTGTGCACAGAAAATCAGGAAGGGCAGAGAACGTGAGTGAATTACGGCAGGTTGAGACTGCGCTGTGAAGTGACGTGGAACTACAGAGGCCAAGAGGAAACGTGATTTAGTGGAGGAGAGGCCGTTCTTCTCCCGTCTTAAATCACTTGCCTCGTCACCCCGCTGTAGCTGGCAAAGGCTGAGTGTCTCCGACTTTAGAGAAAAGCTGTAATTTCTTGGGGGACCCATCATAAAAAGAACTCTCCAATCTCGAGGGGCTCTGGGCAATTTTGTCATTGCATCTTCTGAAATTGGCTGAAGCCAGGTTAATATTTCTAGCAACAACTCTGGTCCACACACAAGACCCTTGCCTGACTCTTTATTCAGAAACATATATCATCCAAATAGCCATCATACATTTCATGCTTTTATGTTCTTTTGGCCCCATGCTACTTATGGACTCGTGGCACTATTCCTGACCTGGTCACTTCTCACTCCAGTAATAGTAATGAAATCTTGCACACCACCCATTTTTCCTTTAATGTTGTTTGAATGAGCGATATTAGAATGCGTTTAAAATTACAATTTCCAGCTTTCTAAAGGCCATCAGTTTTTTTGTCCCACATCTTCCCATTACTTGCTGCTTTGTCAACCTTACTCACTGCTTTGTCAACCAGATTAAATTACTCTGGTGGAGAAAACAGGGGCATTTTCAATTGAGGTGACTAGGAGAAGACTGGAGCCATCTGTCTTTGGACAGCAGAACTTGTAAATGTAAAACCAAGAAGGAATGGTGAACCGAATTTTAGTGTTTTGCTGCTACTGGCAAAGACATCAGTGGAAAAGGAAACCCCAAACTACGGCGGCTGAGAAACCCTTCTCGTACCACGAGACAAGCCCCCTCGCTCTGGCTCAGTGCTTCCCAAGCAAACTTCCGGCTATGAGTTAGGCAGGCGCCCATGTAAACATGCTGACTTAGAGACAACCATCTCCACGCCACATCCAGTGCTCTGGTCCACACTTACATTTCCCACTGTGGAGTAATGGGTTGGTATTCTAGGTTTGCTGTTGTTGTTGCCGGAAAAACAAGAAATGAACACTGTCTACACACTTAGAGAAGTTGGTAGGTAGGCTTGGTTTTTCTCTAGGAACTTCCCCAAAGACAACCGAGTTGGATAAAAGAATTTTATCACATAGTGTAACAAAGGGACCAGTTTGCCTATTCTCCTACGGTGGTCTAAAGAAAATGCAGCTCTTGAGGCAGACAGCCTGGATTTGAATCTCGACTCTGCTAACTTGGTGACCTTGGGCAAGTCACTTGTCTTAGCTTCCTCATCAGTAAAATGAAAATAATAATAATTGTATGGATCCAGATCCAAATAAATACTACCAAAAAAACTTAGAAGAGACCTGCACATATAAACATGAGCAACTCTTCTTCCTAAGGCCCGCCTCTCCTGCCCAGGCCTCCCTCCGCCCTGGTTTATCTCTCCCCAAGACTGTTAAGTGCCTTGAGGGCAGCCACTGCATTATAGTCACCTTTCTACGTCCCCAGTGCCTAAAAGGAGCTGTGCACGAGTTAAATGCTTAATAAATGTTCATTTCTCTTCCTTTCCTCTCCATAACAGTTGATAAACCTCAACTGAACATTAGCCAGTTTGCTGTGCTCTTGATTAGAGGGGAGAGCTGTGGCTCTGGGTTCAGCAGGTCTGAGTTGGATACTGGTTCCCCCACTTACCAGCTTTGATTTGGGCAACGTCTCCAAGGCTCATCTTCCTCCTTGGTAAGATGCAGATGATGCCTACTCCACCAGGATTGGCGGGGGACCAAATCAGGCCACATCTGGCTATAGTGGGAATGCCACACGTGCTACTTCCTCGTCCCCTTACTGAAATTCTGGACTCACTATCAAGGGTTCACTTGGCATCAAGCAGGATTCCGACCATTAGGTCAGAGATGTGCACCCTCACCCACTTCAGCAACGTCCTCCTTTTCCCTGTCAAAGCCCCCCACTCTCTACCCACCAGCTGAGCCGCTGAGCCCAAAAGGGGAAGAAAGCAAAGCTGGTCACTGATGTTGAGGCCTGCCCTAGGGAATGCTGGATGGTGACAAAATGAAGGAAGAGACCCCATGAACGGGAGCTATGAGCCACTGCTCCAACACCCTGCCAGGAAAACAGGGTTGAGTGGCCTCAGTTCAGCTGGCGTAAGCATGTAAGAAGGTTAGATTTTATTCTCATCTTGCAAATGGGAATCCGGGAGTTAGAAAATTTGGTGAGTTGAGACATTCTGCCAATGAGTCTATCAGCTTCCAGGAAGCCGCCTAGCTCACCTTTTACCACAGCCTTGTAACCGCATGAGTGAACACTGACAGGTCCAGAGTAATCTCTCCTTCCTCCCCACATCCTCCTCTTCTTCAACAGGGTGAATTACAGAGAAAAGCATAATAATGCAAGTGTAATTAAGTAGATAGTGTTTCAAGTCAGTTTCAAGACTGGGCTTTACCATCAAGTAAGTGACCTCGGGCATGGCACTTACATGCTGTGACTCAGTTTCCTCAGCTGTAAAATGGGAATGACGTTGGATCAAAATGATGATAGTGTGTGACCACACAAGGTGTACTGGAAAACATGTAAGGTAAAAAATGATTATCAATACACTCTCTCGCCTCTGCCTCCTAAGAAGTACGGAGAGGTGCACTGGCTCGTGCGGAGGACAGCCGCGGCGTACATACAAACCTTTTACTTATTCTGATTTCTAATTCGGAGGCACCTCCTTTTGAGCGGAGGCTCCAGGTCCTCGGGCCCGGCGCTCAGCATGGGCGAGGAGATGATGCACGGCGCCATGGCAGTCTTCTCCGCCGGTTTTGGCACAGGCTGGATCACGCAGCCCGTCTTGGGCAGCATGCGCAGAGCATACGCGTGGTCCTCGTCCGCGGGGTTATTAAGGTTCGGGTCTGACTTGTCGCCCCCCGCCAGGGCCTCCTCCCCCATCAGCTTTTTGGCCGCCTCCCCGTCCAGGTGGCAGTTGGAAGCACAGTTGTTCTCCTTGACGGACTCCAGCTCGCTCACCGCGGGCTCCTCGTGCGACAGCAGCTTCTTGGGGGCGCGGGCGGCGGCGGCGGCGGCGGCGGGGGCTGCTCGGGCGGCGGCTCCGCGCCCTTGGCGCCCTCGGCGGCGGCGCCGCGCGTGCCGTTCACGATGACGTTGCAGGCCGCGGCGGCCTCGGGGCCCGCGGGGCGCCCGGACCCGGGTCGCCGGCGGCGGGCGGGCTGCAGTGGCCGTCCCTGCAGCCGCCGCAGGTCCTGCGCTCCGCGGCGCCCGGCTCGCGCTCCGCCTTGACGTGCGCGTGCAGCGCGCGGTGGATCACGTTGTGCAGCCGGGCCCGGTGGCCCACGGTCAGGTCGATGACGCCGTCCTGCGGGCCCTGCAGCACGCCGGGGAAGCCGAGCTGGCCGCCCGCGCCCGGGGGGCTGCCGGCGCGCCGCGTCAGGTCCACCACCTCGCTCCGGCCGTGCTCCGCGGGCGCGGGCGCCAGGCTCAGGGCCTGGCCCGAGCAGCCGGGCGGCGAGTCCGCGGACTTGGACGAGCCCTGCTTGGAGTCCCGGGGGGACAGGGAGTGTCCGCCTGGCTTACCTCCTGCCGCCGAGGAGTCGCCGGGGGCGCTCGGAATGAAGTTCTCCCCGTTGCTGGAAAATCCGTTGGGGGGCTTGGAATCATTGACGTGAGGGATGGGAATAGGGATGGGGATGGGCACGGGCAGGGGCACGATCACCGGGTATGGCACGAGCAAGGTGGGGGGCGGCACCAGCGGGGCGAGCGACGGCAGCCCGAAATTCATCATCTGGGGCACGGGCATCGGGCCATTTGGCATCATGCTCACGGGCGGGAAGGGGAGACTCGGCAAGGGCGCGCCCGGGGGCGGAGGGGGCAGCAGGCCCGGGGGGTTACCAGGCATGGTCGGGGTGCTCGGGGGGTGGATATGGGGCGAGAGCATGGGCCGGTGCATGGGACTGGAAGTGGGGCCCAGGTTTCTGGGGCCGCCCGGAGGGGGCCCGATGCCCGGGAGCATGGGGTTGGACAGAGGGCTGTTGGGGTTGGAGGCGTGGTGTGGCGGCCCGCGAATGAAGGGCGGGCGGATCTGCTGCATGATCTGTTGTTCCATGAAGATGGGCAGCGGCACCGGGCCGCGGTTGGTCATCACCATGGGAGGGCTGCGAGGCGGCACTCCGAGGGGAGGCCCGATGCTAGCAGGTGGCTGGACGGAGACAGGAGGGATGTTTGGAGTCTCGCTGATCGGCATGGACTTGGGCACTGGCGTGGGGATTTTAGCGACAGAGCAGTTGGCAGTGTCAGATGGAGAGACGGTGGTGGACGCCGATGGGCCAGGGCCCTGGCTTTGGCCAGCTGCAGCCACCGGGGAGGGGGCTTTCCTCCGAGCATCTGTTAGAGGAATATTCCAAGAGTCTGGAGTGAGCAGCTGCACCCCGGTGCCTTCTGCTTTATTTTCCATGGGAGGGTGTAATGTGCTGCACAGCCCAGCTGGAAGATTGGCCTGGGTCTCTTTGTAGAAAATGTCCATTTTGTATTGATTGAGACATTTTGCACTGCAGAACTGAAGCCTTCTTTCCCCGTCCCCAAAATCCAGGTATTCTTTTGTGTGTCTTATGTGTTTACACCAGTCACATACCTACAACACAGTAATAAAAAAGATAAATAAAAAGATAAGCAGTTTCCTCTGGTAGATGGCGTTTCAGGTTTCACATAAACGTTCTTTCAGACTTTATCACAATCTTTCAAACAGGCTGAAGTGTTTCCTTCGAAAAGGTAAAATTCTGAAAAGTTCGTAAAATAATTTTTCCTTGGAAACCAGAATTGCTTTATAAATATTAACTCTTCAGAATAGCAATTATCACCATCTCCTATTTAAAAAAAAAACAAAACAAAACTCTCTTGTCCCCTTTGAGCATGACTTTAAGGTGGATCTGACAAAAAGGAATATGTATACCTGCCCACACATTTTCACTTGTCAGAGAGGCTCGTTGTAAATGCAAATCTAAGTAGTTTTGGAGAGAAGGATTCTCCAGAAAGTTCAATGGGTTTTGAAATATAGCCCCTTAAAATTCTCCTCATGCAAAGTCACTTTACACTATTGACTGTGTTCGATAATGCAGTTGGAAAGGGTGTGCTGTGTTAGCCAATAACACGAAGCGTGGAACATCATTATGTCTGCCTTCCAAGGGGAAACTTGGAATTAGTCATGAAGTCTGTGTGAGGTTTAGCTATTCCCAACCTGTGATGTTGCAGCAAGCTAGAATTATTTTTTGAGCTGTTTGCCCACTCTCTCTCAGTAGTCAGAATTTTTGGTGACATTTCTTGGCAGGCAGTCTTATTTAACAACTTTTCAAACACCAGAGAACGTTTTCCAAAAGTTGTTATGGCTTTTTCCCCCCTTCAGAGCTACTCCTGGCACAGGAAAGACATTGCCAAATTTATTTTAAAGTTGGGCTGCAGAACTAATTAAAGGCTGAGAGCTTTTCCCAATTGGAAATCATTAGACATCAAAGTTCAAAAAATAGTCATTCTCAGCTTCAGAACCCATTACTTTGGAGAAATTATTGTGATTTCATTAACACATTAATTTTGCAACACCATCAGCTCTCACAGATGGTGAAGACATGATCTACAATTCAAATATGACTCTTGTTTGCACAAATGTCTTTCCTTCATATGGCATTTTAAACAAGAATTAATATGAGTAATCTTGCCATAGCTATAAACAGATAAACAGATGTCAAAATTTTCAATAGTTTTTTCAGTGCCTTACTTTTTTGACTGAACATTACACACAGAATCTTTTTTTCTTTTCTTTTCTTTTTGCTTTTTTGGTCATTTCCTCAGCTTCAACCCATGCAGCAGCAGAGGAAGGATTCTGAAATGCAATGCAATGGTGAGTTTATTGACTTCGAGTCCATCTTCAGTAAAGCACTGGTTCCAATATTGCTCTAAATGGAACCCTGTTTTTGTGGAGGAGGGTGTCTGTTGTTGGTGTGTGTTGTTTTTTAACTATGGTACACTGATAGCATTAAAAGATGATAAATTTTAATAACGATTGATCACATAAACAATGCAAAAACAACATATGCTGGGCATTTGATTCCTCATCTCATTTAACTCTCAGTTTTCCTTGACTGTAAACAGTGGTGGCATGCCCGTATGTAATTGTGGGTGCCCACACTCGTGGCAGATGTGGGTCTGGATGGGTAAATCCACTCTTTTCCTTCTCGCTGTTTTTTCAGTGATATTCGCAGGTAATATACTCGATGGTGTAAGGCTGAAGAACAAATACTTACTGGCACACATTAGTTTTTCCTTTGGTTTCATATCAAATTGCCCTTTCAAAATATTTGTTGTAAAAAAAATTTTTTTTCAATGCTAATATCCTCCTGTGTTTCACTACAGTGTTTCAGGTTTCTCCAGAATTAAGAGAATTTTTTTTAATCCTAGTTGAGATGTCCAGTTTACAGATAAGTACAGAATTGCCTCTGATGAGAAGAGACATGCAGAATCCATCAGACCCTCAAAATTCTCATCTAGAAAAGGTTAAATAAACTAGTAGTGAAAGTTTGATGCATGTAAGTTATTATTTTTAAAACCTGATCATTTTTACACAGTTAATTTATAATGATGTGACATTTAAACTCCAATATGAAATAAAGCCACCTAATTCTGTTTCAATATTAGACATCCATAGAAAGACTAAAATGTAAATTTATAAGTTTGAAGTGAAGGATCAAATATAGCTTCTTTAATCATGAACTAGAAAACATTATCAATAAATTAAACTAATGAAAATAATATACCAAATTTTCTGGCATATTTCTTTGGGAAGTTATTTTTTAACCATAAGGGGAAAGAGTTTTCTGAAATCCTTAATTGGTTTTTAAATTGCCAGATTGAATTATTTGTCTCCAGAGGATTCCTCTGTTTCCTCAAGCTAAATAAATATTTTCAAGTGAAATCACAAAAAATAATCTAAATATAACTTAAATGTGCTCCCTTCGCTTCCTTCACTTTTAATAATTCATTGATGAATAAGGAATGCGCAGCGATCTATCCCAATTATCAAGTGAGAATTCCCCACCACATTTTATCTATTTCCACATAAAAAGGATTACAGACATCAAAGTTCAAAGCAAATTCCATTTCATCAAACTTTCCAGTTAAAGCAAAGGCTTAACGCTTAGCTACTTGGTTTTCTGCAACATCCCAGTGTTTAGGTAATAGTGTGACTGTTTATGACTATCTCATTTTGGGTAACGTGAGTGTGAATGTGTGTGTATCCTTGCCTTGTTACATCTCAATTCAGAACGCTGTTGTAAAAATCCAGAAAAGCAAGCTCTCTGATGAAGCAAAAAATTACTAGAGAAAAAAATGGTCACTTAAGAAATAATGAATCAAGTCTGTCTTACAGGACACATCATTTAAGATGAGGTCAATGAATTTATGGCACAAATGGCTATATCATGTGAGGCAATAAAATGCAGTCCATCATTCATTCTACATCTAACTAATGACACACTTCTAGTAATTAAAGATTTCATCATCAGAGCCTGAGCTGATTACTTAAGATGGGGTAGTTAGGTAAAAATACATACTGTAGATCTCTCTCTTTAATAAAATAACATTTGCATATCCATGAAATACACAGCATGTGTCTCATAAACTATGGTTTTCTGAATTGTGGTGTTATAGAGTATTCTCTTTTTCCACAGACGGCTTTAATTTTTTTTTTTACTTTGTGAGGCTTTAGTTTTTCCTCATTATGCCAAGAAGTACCAAAATTCCTTCGGATATTTTAAAAGATAAAGATTAAGAAGTGCAGAGGCCAACTCACTGGGCTCTGGAACGATTTCCCCCTAATTCCACCCCGGCTTTGTTTCTGTTGGAATCTGGCCTCTTTGGTTCCAGTTCTCTCCCTAACAGGTCCCAGATTGGACAGAGCTGAGGCTGAAGCTGTTTAACGATGGCAATCTGGGGACCGAACAATCAGCTAATGCAATGCCATTGAGCGAGACAGCTGAAATGCTTCGCATCACAAATACATAATGTATCACCAGGAAGACAAAGAGATCACAAAGGAGATAAACAAATGCGTGTTCCATTCAACCCTCTCACAGCAGTCCTCAAAAAGATTAAATTTACCTTCCTGGGATGTGTCCAATTCTAAACAACAGAATGAACATTTCCTTTAGTCCATTTAGAGTATTTATATTTTGGTGGCTGACTGCCAGAGTAGTACTTATAAGCTCAGTGGCCTGATGGATTCACTCCTTTCCTGTGAAATAAATGTGTGGCAACCTACACCGTGGAACTGCTCAAAAGATACTGCCTCAGCAGAAATATCACTTGCTCTTGATATAAGAAAACCGAAAGGCAAGACTTCTGGTTCCTATAACTCTTTCCATCTTGTGTTTCCCCTGGAAAGAAAGGAGGCTATTCATCTTGGCGACGAAGCCTTTATTTTTATATAAATGTCCGAAGCCAAAGCCAAAGTATGCCATGAGGTTACTCACATGGGCACTAGATATACATTCTACTGGGCTTAAGAGAAGATTCAGGTGACTGGAGGTAGGGGGGACAGGGTTCCTAATTAACACATTAATCAATTGTCGGCTGTGGGAGTGAAGTTCATCCTTTAATGGAACCCTTCTGAGTGGTAATCTGGCATCAGGCAATATTTAATTAGGAAACCCTTTTGCTGAAACCTTTCTTATCTGGGCAAAGACACGTGCAGCAATGGAAGAGTAAAAGGATATTTTCAATCCCTTGAATGCCATCAACAATTTGAAAAACAAAACAATCTTCACATGCTCCTGACTTTCCACGAATATAGCATCCAGGTAACAGGTCAGAAGCTACAGCTCTTTAGGCAAAACTGAAGCTTGCCATAAGAGGCTGGATCTCTAAGCCTTGGCTTGTTAAATGTGGCATTGATCTTGCCAGCCATTGATCTTGAGTCCAGGCCCAATCAAAAAAATCATGAGCTCACCCAAGAGTGAAGCAAAGGAGGATGAAGAGACATGGGCGGAGGTGATCAGTGCTTTGAAGGGTCTGGGGTCTCCTCTACCTGTGAACAGTCACCTCACAGCATGAGTTGAGGGCCTGAGGCTGACCCCATCTGAACACCTGCTTCCAGCCCAACCCTGGAGTCCCATGGTCCCAGCATCAGCTGTTCCTTGGCGTTTAGCCACTGCCTCCATCAGGGCCCTGGGTCAGTGGACCCGGGCAGCAAAGGATGCTATGGAAATCATGTGGATTTGGAATCAGAAGATGTGGGTTTGAATCTGGGCTCCATTACTGACTAGCAGTGCAACCTTATGAAAATCAGCTTCAATTTCTTTATCTGTGAAATGAAGCTAATAGTAGTAACAAGTAATGCTTGTGTGCCAGGCATATCACTAAGCTGGTTACACAGTGTAGTTTTTCAGGCCCTAGCCTGCCGCCCTCATGGTTGCCGATGCCCCAGGAACATCCCACATGTTTCAGTTCATTTTAACTTAATGCGAGGATGTTTGTATGGCAGTGTGAGGAGAGAAAGGGAAATTTTCGTCCACAGTTTTCCTATGAGCCTGTGTGTCTTTGAGATAGAATGGGGCATGTTTCTCTCCGGGCAAAATGCATGCTGCA